CCTTAAAATTATACATTTTCTCAGTTTAAACATTTGATATGTCATCTATGTTGTATTCTGAATAAAATATTGAAATTTGAAACTTCCACATCATTGCCCCCCCCCCCCAGTCATACAAAAGGAACAATAAACCTTTGATATTGCATGGAAATCCAGAAAAAGCATCATAACCTGCCTTAATAACAACTTCGTCCAGTCGATCGACCAAGGATACGGAAGATTTTTCTTCAATAAGAATCATGATAACCATGCCAAGGTTATTTTGGACAAAGGCATCATGAAGTCTACTTGTAAACTGTATAATTAGAAAAGCACTGGATGAATGTCTGGAATACTAAAAACAACAAACAACTCAGTATGAGTCCATTGTGATTCAACTTTAAAATTACTGCAAGCACCCTAAGGCTAATACACAATCAATCAATCAAAGTGATTAAGTAGACCGTACAACCCTACATATGGTTAATATAAACCCACAGTGATAAAGTAAACCTCCAGAGAAGAACTCACACTCATGATGCACAGACAGGCGACCTCCTCCTCAGACTGCAGACTGTTTAATTAAACACACATGGCTTTTAATTAGGCTACATATACGCTTTTTATTTAACGCCCATGAGCCTTTGCGCGAAATAGGGAAGTGACTTCCGGTAAACTTTACAATCAGGGAAAGGTTTGCTTTATGAAGCATTTTCAAAAACGTGGTACAATGAGGTGAAATTAGTATACTCTACTTACCTTTCGACCATCGAATATAAAAAGAAAATTTTAAAGTGTTAAAGCAAATTAGGCTACTACAAACAGACCATGAATAACCCCAAAAGCTCGATTATTTCCATGTAATTACAGACGTGTTAAATATCACTGTAATGTAGGCTAGTTTATGTCTGCATTATGTATACGTTGCCCAAAAATGTTCATTGAGCATTGAGGGATAATAGATTAAGTGATTTCCGTCATTTTGACAGATAACAAATACTGTATTTACCTGACATGGAAACATTCTGTAAACACTGCTAATAGGGCTTAGAAGTGAAAAGAGGAGACACTTACTTTTTAAAGTGAAAACAAACCTGGAAAGAGACGTGAGGATTTGTAGAGAAAAGCGAGATATTCTTAATTCAATCCAGTGAATTATTCATGGGATATATCGTAAATTAAATGACTTTGTATTTTTTTTTATATTGTTAAAGCGAAGTACAACGGGGGGAAATGATACAGCGGACTGAAAAGAGCTCTTACCGTAGACATTCTTGTCACATTGTAGTCTCGGGCAAGAGATGGGTAAAAACAAGACTCAGAAAGTGTTAACTCTTAGTTTTTGTATAGAGTTTACACAAATATTAAATATACCAACTGTAATTTATTTGTTATCAAAGTGTTTAGCGTTAGATATTTAAATATTTTGTACCAACCTGTATACAGAAACCCATGTAGCCTACATTTACACACATACGTTTTTTTAATTAATTAATTAATTATTTCATTTATTTATTTATTTATTGCAACTTCGAGTATAAGAGTTAAGGCTACTTTTGACACAGACGCGAGGGGTGCTTCACAGACAACTTTTCCACAACCTCATTACTCCACTTGTAGGACACTTACAAGATTACCATTTATTTATTTATATACAATTTAATAATTATCTTCTAGTGTTACATGCTAATATACTGAAAAGGCTATCAGGTTGAATCCCAGGGATTCACATAATAGATTCTTTCGTTTTCACAAATTTAACCGTGGGTCATGCCTTCCATATTTAGTGAATATGGAAGTGGTAGTAAATATGGAATAGTGTATAACTGTAAGACAATTCGCAAGATTCGAATGGATAAGATCAACACAAGGCTTACGCTTTTGTGAAACAGGTTATAGAGATACAGTGGTATGATTAGAGTTTATATTCACGAGTCATAACGTAGTAGGATCAGTGAAGTGTGCTGACCACCACTTTTCAGCAAATCATTGGCCAACTGTATGGTAACATAATTAATAATATTCATGATCCAAGCCTGCACCAAAAGACTTTCCCGTAATTTGCGCCATATATGGACTTGTAGATGTATAAAAACGCACTTGGCATCGAGATACAATACCAGAACATCAAATTAAGATCAAATTTTGATGTAAATTACACAAAGAAAAATAAGTACTGATGTACTATTTCTCTACATATAAAAATACATATAAAACACATAAATGTATGTATGTATGTATGTATGTATGTATGTATGTATTGATTGATTTATCCATTCATTCTTGCATGCATGCAACGTTTGCTTTCATGGTTACATGTGTCTACAAAAATAATTAACTGAAAACTGTCTTTTTTCCCCCTGGGGTATAAAGGTATCCATATGAACTAATATGATGTGCTGTCAAATTACAGTCTATTCCCGAAATGCTTCAGACGATTCTATAAAGGTAAATTTTAGGTAGATATATACACTTTCTATATTATTGAAAAAAATACAGGAACATTGCACACCACAATTCCATACACCTTCATGACATCGGAAGTTAATGGTGGTAAAGTGAAAAAAAATTAAAGTGAGCCTAAAATAATCTTCTGTCTGCATTTGTGTGCGCAAATTACATCTACGACGTTTTACATTTGTCAACTGTACTGTGCTCCTTTGCGTATATATATATATATACAAAACAGCAATGATAAGTGATACAGTAAGTGCACTGTTGCTCTGTTCTCCCTAGAATGACAAAATAGTAATGCAAATCCAAAGGAGCAAGGCAATAATACAAAGAAAATAATGAACAAAAGATAGGCTGCAATTGTTTTATAAAATGTAAAAAAACAAAAAACAAAAAAAACACATTACAATCAGGAATGCGTAGGGTACTGGTACTTGAGTGATGAGTGTGATGTCTCGTTAATATTATGGCAATTTTCAACTGAACGTAAACTGCCTTCATATGTATAAATGAATTATTATTATTGTCTTAAGAAAAACACATTCTTTTTGATGAAAAAATTAGGAAATTTTTTTACTTTTAACTTTATTGTCTACAAAATGCATATTCCAACTAAAAATAATTTATGCATTTATACTTGCATTATTAATATATTTTAATGAACAACCGTGCAGCCCAAAAGGTAAAAACAACAAAAACAAAAACACTAATGTAGCTTACAGTATGCGTATCATTTTATGTATCTTGTATTCTTGTATAGCCTGTCATTTTTCAGACGTCAGACTCGGTATGTATTTTAGGAAGAGACTCGCGTGCTTTTCAAGATGTTATTTTATTGATGTTCTTATAAGAGTGACTCCAGTTGCTAGATAATAGATAATTACAAGAGTCTTGCAATTTAGTATTTTATAATAATAATAATAATAATAATAATTATTATTATTATTATTATTATTATTATTATTATTATTAGAACCCTTATGTTACAAACTGAAAAAGCAACGCCATTCGTTTAAAGTTCGTGTCCAGGGTGGATGCATCACCTGAAAATCACTTATATCTGTAATTTTCAATCAGTGACATCAGTGATCGCCAACAGATACATAGAAAAGGTGCGTTTTTATGAGCTGCGTTGTGTTTGTTGTGTTAACGACCGGTGCGTGTTGTGTCAGCAGTGCGGCTTTTCGTTTACACACAACAACTAATGACCTGCAGTAGATCACATTACCTCACCAACTGGACCAGTCCTGTTCTGTGACCATCAGCCTCGGCTCAGTCCCAGTTAAAGTCGCTTCCGTAAATTTCGCTGACTACTCGTGAAATACCACACCGTCGGGTTCATTTTTAAAAGAGGCTGTCATTTTCCCCTTAAAACTGTAAACGCAAAGATAAAATCTGGAATGTGTAAGGAAAATTGATTTAACACAAACTGTGCCATTTCCACCCTGTAGTCAAATATCGAGCTTTCGTTGGTTTTGTTGCGAAATGACTCGCCGTTAGTGGAGGTGAAACGCAAGCATCATTTAAAGTGAAAGACCGCCGTGTGTGTGTGTGTGTGTGTGTGTGTGTGTGTGTGTAAGAGCCCAGCCTCCTTCTTTACATAGACACAGCAGCGTTTACCTGAGACTATTACCTGTGTGAAGCACACCTAGACGGACTCACGCAAACGTGGATTTTACTAAAGAAAATAAAGAGCTTTCTGGAAGTAAAGATCTAAAGGACCTGACTTAGAGATGTATGATCTATTTTGTAAACTGATCTAGACTCCGAGGAGAATTTTGTCTTCAAACTGATTTTTAATTCTTATGGTTGTCATGATCCGGAGTTGACTCACATCATGTCCAAATCTTCAGATCAGTTTGACAGCTCAGATTGCGTGTGTTCATTCGGCATGAAGCTGACTTGGGATATAAACGACCCCAAGCTACCACAGGTAAATATTTATTATTTTTATGTATTTGTAGGCAAAACTGAACAGAATATTTCCATTTGTTTTAGAATAGCCTCCTTTTCATTCTTGTTTCAGTGTTTAATTTGCACACAGTAGCCTATAGGCGACATAAAAAGCATTTTATAGTTTTCTGTATATCGGTCAAAATTTTTGAATGATATTAGATGTCATCTCGCAAAATAAACATCTGAATTTTTATTTTTCCAGGACACGAAGCAGTATGATGCGTTCCAGGAGTGGACAGATGGATATGTACGTTATATTTACAGCAGTGAAGACAAGAACGCACAAAGACACCTGAGCGGATGGGCCATGAGGAACACTAACAATCATAACTGTCAGATCCTGAAGAAGTCATGTCTTGGTGTGGTGGTGTGTTCACGAAACTGCTCTCTCCCAGACGGGTCCAAACTTCAGCTGAGACCGGCCATCTGTGACAAAGCACGACAGAAACAGCAAAGTATGTTGAGGAACTTTTTCTCCAAACAACCAGCATCTACCAAACGAGTTAGTCGTGTTAGAAACGAATCTGATAAGAAAGAACAAACATATTTTACACTACAGGCTGGTTGTAGCGCGTAGTTTGAATCACGTCTTAAATATATGAATAGCAAGGAATCGCATTCTTATCAAGAATAATTGTATTTCCTCTATATCGTTTTCGCGTTGGATACTTGGAGTTCAGGATTTTTATAGATTTTTCAGATCAGAACGTATCCGTTTTAGGTGTCATCCGATACCTAGAACGACCCAATTGTTTTCTTCAAAGAACCAGTAGATAGACGTTTTCTAAATATCTACTGTCCCATTGGCACTTAAAAATATACTTTTGTGGCATTAGGCTGTGAACTCTTTTGGGAACAATTATTTCTAAAGTGTAGTCTTCTCAGTGACTCCTGTTAATCAACCTTAGATTCTGCGTGAGAATGTTCAGTAGACTGACAGACCATTTTCTGTCAGTTTAGAGCTGACCCTCTCACTCATGACCTTGACTGTTTGGCTCAGTCAAAACACTTAACCTCTTTTTTTGCAATGACTTGAAATATGAGAATTTCATTAAAAAAAAATCTAATTACGTATAATGTATACGTAGAAAATACGGATAATGTTGGCATATTTGTAAAATGCTCATTAAAAACAATTTATTCATACTAAATAGTTTGAATAAAACTATTTATTCGTACCTTTGCAGAAAAGCTTT